GGGGGGGGGGGGGGGGGAACTTCATCTCCTTTCCCTGGAAGCCTGGCACCTCTCCTCTGGGTCTGTCTGATCCCAAAGATTGGGAGATCCAGGTAGGTCCCCAGAGACGAGTCTGTCTGTGGCTGTCTGTCTGTCTGTCTCTCTCTCTCACACACACACATACACACAAAGAAGAACATCTTCTTTACAGTAAGTTTATTGTATTTTTCTGTCAGCTCAGGGAGGCAGGGGCGGGAGCAGGCAGGGATACGAAGCAAGCAGTGGGGAGCCTTGGTGTCAACTTGGTGTCCTCCCTGGAAGGGGCAAGCTGGAAAGAGAAGACAAGGGAAAGGGGGTAGGGACTGACACAGGTGGTGAGAAAGGGAAGGAAGGAAAGGCAGAGGAGGCTGAGGGTTCCTGAGAGAGATGGTTCAAGAAGAGGAGGGAAAATACTTGTAACCCCAATTTTCCTGCTTCCTGAATGGTTTGGAGGAGGGATGAAGGAAAGTGCAGGGCATGGGGACTGAACCCTTCCACGAGGTCCTCTCAGAGTATTCTCTCTCCAGCCAGCTCCTCGCCCCCTCCCCCTGGCAAAGCTCACCTTCCAGAAGGTTCTGCAACAGGGTGAGTGGTAGGTCACTGGGCACTCTCTCCCACAGGGCCTGTGTTCCCAGCCTGTGCTCTGATTAGGAGAACTGCCAGCTTTTGTCCTCTGGTAACAGGATTCTGCCACCAGCAGGTGAGAGAGAGGGATTTTAGGCAGGGAGGCCCTCTTCTGTGTTTCTGAACTCTCTGAGGCAGACCCTGAGTGGGGTGGTGTGCTTTTATGAATCCAAAGGTGGGTACTGGGCATCAGTGACTAACCAGATGCAGAGATTTGCGTGGTGTTTGTGTCTGTGTTCAGGAAACAGCCACGGAACTAGGGGTTAAGAGACCTGCGCTAGTCCTGACTCTGGCACGTACTAGCTGTGTGACCTTGGGCAATCATCTGACCTCTCTGAGTTCCATTTCCGGTCTATAAGCTGGAGATGCTAATCTTGGTCCTGTCAGTACTAGCTCCGTAAGAGTTTCATAAGGTTTAAACAGACAAAGGATGTGAGACTGGCTCATAAACTGAGACATACTGCTTGGGTGATAAAGGAATTGTGCCTGTACACAAGGGTGGGCTATGTACATGGGTTTGTGTCCAGCGGTGCCTGTTTGTGCACAGGTCAGGATGTGAGTCCGTGCCCTGCCAAAACAGAGTGAGGAAGCGGGGAGAATGGAGCAGTGGACACTAGCAGTCAGGAGGCTTTTGATCTGGATGTGCCCTTGACTGGCTGTGTGATCTCGGGCTAGTGCCTGTCCCCTCTGGTCCCAAGGTCCTGTCCAATAAAATGGCAGCCCTATGCTTCATGCTTCAGATACCCACCCTTGCCCTCCATGCCAGGTACGGCTGGTCCCATGTGGTTCCCTGGGCCCAGGAGGCAATGGGGGAGGGAGCTGGGAAGAAATCATGGATCAGGGCTAGGCTTGATGCAAAGGAAATGGGGAGGAAATGGTGTAAGCCTCTGCAAGAGGAGAGCCAATGGCCAAGCGTGGACAAAGAGAGCAGGAGACGGCCGCCGGAAATGTTGGGGTCTGCTACATTCATCTGGTCCGCAGGCCCAGGAGCCCAGCAGGAAACGCAAGGGGAGACAGCTGGCGAGGCTGCACTGCAAGTGGGAAGCTCCCCGGTCCTGTGCCTCAAATGGGATTACATGTCTTCTGTAACCGGCTGGAAGAAAAAAGAAGAGCAAGTTTATTCCTCCCCAACTCCTTTGCCTCCTCGCAGCTCCGTGTCTCCCATACTGCACTTTCCCTTCGTGCAGTGGTGGCCTCTGGGCCACAGCTGCAGGGCCATATCCAGAAATATCCCAGGCCCTCGGCCCCTTCTCCTCTGCCCTCCTCCTTCTTCCTGCTTC